AGAGAAGAAATGGTTCATTATGTGGCTGCATCTCCTTTTCTTTCTATATGAAATAAGACACCTTACTGTGAAGGTAAAAGGGGCAGGAATTGGGCCCGAGGGAGAAGCTCTAGGAGCCTGCAGCGTTGGGTGAACTGATGCTGGGTGAGGTGTAATTGGCTCCCGTGGGATGAAGTTGGAAAATGAAGATGGGATTTTGCGGGGGCTGGAGTCTGGAAAGCTGATTTGATGTGGGAACTTCAGATCCAGAATGGCAGGATGTCTGGTCAGCAACATGCCTGGGAAAGAAACGGTGAAGGGCCAGGGAGAGAGTCTATAGTGGTTCTCTTCAGAGGGGAGCTGTTTTGCATAAAGGGGACAGCGACAGACTGAACTTTGGGTCTTGGGTGGTAGGAGCAGGTAATAATAAATACAAAATCTGACTTGCAACAATAAAAGGGAAAATGTCCTAAGTAAGTGTTGTGCAGACAATGTTTTCAGCTTGAAACAGAGAAAGAGATGGGCCAAGGGATTATAGAGAACAATAAAGGAAGGGAAAAAGAAGGGATGTGCTTCTCAGTATGGCACTACATAACATAATGTAAACACTAAACAAACAAAACCCTCAAACCAGCAACTGAATTGCAAATGCTCCTCTAGGACACAGTCTGTGGCCCCTATAAGCAGGGGTCAGCAGTGCCATCTCTGGCTGTGTCCATTGCTATTACTGCCCCCATCCCCCTGAGAGCCTCTGAGGGCACTGCATCCTCTGTGGTGCTCTGACCCATGGATGGATGCAGATTCTTCCCGAAGTCCTCAGGCGTGGGTACCTATAACCGCTTGGCAGAAGGGAAGCAGACACTAAGAAGACTGCAAGTCCAGATGCCTGGCATGAAAAGCACAAGCTCATCTTTAGCATGTGTGCTGCAGGCACACCTTTTTTCTGGTTCCTGTTAGAATCATCCATCTCCATGAGTAAGAGCTGCTATAGGGATACTGCGTGCTCTCAGAGCTCAGGACAAAACACAGAGGTTTAGTTCTCCCTTTCACCCACACAGGTCTAGCTGATGCTTTGAGGATGCTCTTCTGCCCTGGGCAGCTGAGAATGGGAGTGACATTTCCTTAGGTAAATCTCCACCTACCCCTGCAGAGAAAGCTGACCCTTACCACCTACTCAGAATTACACTCTCAGAATACAGCCGAGAAGACAAAACTCACGTAAGAGCAAGGCGCATATACCTGGTACGCTGGGGTCATTTTATGGATGCAAAGCCTTCCTCCCTTTGCTGCCAGCTGAGCCTCTGATAAGCCCTGCTCTGCCATTGGTGAGTGATGGTGGTAAGCAAGCTTTTAGGTGATGGACAGAAAGTTCGGGGAGTGCCAGGGACCGTGAGGAATGTGGTTGTGCCCTCAGGGAGCCCATATCATTTCTGGGAAGACAATATTCACCCACAGAAAAAAGACAGAGAATGGAATACCATAGCCCGAGCAGATGGTGCTTAGCCAAGGTCTGAAAGGCAGGTGGCAGCAGAGTCAGGGGGTGGGATGTCCTTCGTGTACAGCTGGGTAAGACCAGCATCGCCTTGGGAAAGTGGCAGCCCTACATTCCTGGAAGGGGTTATTGTGATGGAAAAGAAGGCCTGGGGCATCACTGGAGTCTGGAAGGAAGGGAGGGCTCTAGCTGTGAGCAGGTCCCTTGCTCCTCCAGCATAGCTAGCTCCCTGGGACAAGCTGAGCACAGAAAGGGCTTGTGATGGCACTGACTGGAAGCGAGTGGTCGGGGGGAGACAGAAGGCTCTGAGCATGATGGATTGCTTTCACTATGCTGCAGTCCCCTCCTGCCTGGAGGGGAATGACTTAGAACAGGTACAAGAATTTGAACTGCCGAACTGCGATTGCTTGGTGACTGTCATTGCTTGAGAGAAGCCAGCTCAGGGAGGAGCCTCTGTTCTGGGCAATTACGCCTGGCACACGTCCGCAGAGCCCGCACCCACAGCTGGGTCCCAGGGGCTTGGGGAGCATCGCGGCTCCTCACCCTGGCATCCGAAATCTTGGCTACCAACCCTCCCCTCCACCGACTGCTCCAAATTCGCTCCCCATTTTCTCCCCAGTCCACACCCCCTCCGCAAGCCAGACCGGCTTCCTGACATCGTTCACTGTGCCCTGAATGGCCTCCCGTCTCTTGGTTCCTCTCCTATTTTATACAGTGTAGCCTTCACCCAACACCTGCTTCAGGAAGAACCAGCCTTTCCCCTAGGAACCGGATGGGCTCTCCCAGTAAGGAACAGCCTGCTTCATCTGTGGTTAACAAAACAAAACAAAACGAAGCAGACAAACAAAAAGCAACCCAGTAAAACATGGCTCACTCCAGTTTGCTCCACAAAGCTGGGAGAAGGGGCTGGACACGAGACACATATCTGGGACCTGTGGTCATGCTCTTCCCTGGAGAAAGGAGCACTTTGAGCTCTGAGGCTGCAGCCCTGGCCAGGAGTAGAAGAGAGAACAGCCCCAAGATGGGCTGGTCAGAAATGGAGGTTGCCCCCAGTGGAGGAGTAAAGTGGACCAGTACGGTGGTAGGATGGAAGATTGCTCTCTAGGTCTGGGGCCTGGGATAGGAATGCCAGGAAAACACTGTGACCGTCACCACACATATCTGAGATCTTGGAGGACCTGTCTGTGATCTGAAAGCCTGCTGGGACAATGGCTGGGGAGACAGACCTAGTGGCTGTCTACAGTGGGTGAGCTAGAGGGAGGAGGGGGCCGATGCAGAATCCAGGGTCGGCTTCTCCCACCCAAGGCTGGCAGACTTAGGCAGGGAGCCACCATCAAGTAGTTGGTCCAGATGTTACACCTGCTTACATCGCTTTGCCTGGCACGGTGAGCAGGTTCAGGGAGGTGCTGCTTCCCTCTTGTCTTTGTTCCACACAAAGGCACATTTTTCACCATTCATTCATGCATTCAGCACTTGCCAATCATCTGCCTTGTGCCTGGCCCAGTGCTGGGGCTGCAGACACACCAGTAGATGGATAGCATCCCTGCCTCCTGGACCTCCCTGTCTAGAGCTGAAAATAGCCTCATGCCCCGAGGTAGGGGCCCCACGCATTCTTCACATGCAGAATGAAACATTATTAACACGTTTCACTTTGCATACATTTAACACTGAAACAAGTACAAACTCCATTAGGAAATTACATTTAAATATATTTCAATGTGATTCCAAATCTGTAGGTGTCTCATTTATCAAAGACAAAAAAGATTGGGTTCCTTCTCCAGATATGGCCTCGTGTTTTGCTTTCCTCACTTTAAATCCCATTGTGAGCTCGTTCCGAGCTTAGAAAGCTTTTATATTCTTTCCAGGCTTTCTTTTCAAAAGTGAGACTTTCACTGGGGCCAGTTGTTACACGTCAAAATAAAACAAGGTGAGTTCTTCTTCACTCAGATAGCTTTGCACTCATTCATTCATTCGTTCATTCATTCAATGACTGTTACTTGAGCACCTACCATTGGGGCCAGACATGTGCTAAACCTGAGAAATTCCACTGTGAACAAAAGAGACAGACTCCTGCCCTCAGGGTCCTCAGGGTCTAGTGAATTACACTCAGCCAGAGTGCAGGCCCCCTGAGGTCAGGGACACACAGATTCCCACTCTGGCTTGTTCCTTTTTCTCTGTCTCTTGCTTGAAATAGACAGACACAGAGAAGACTCTCCTTTGTTCTTTACCTCTCACATGTCTTAGCTGTGTCTCTCCTACTCAGCATTTCACCTTGTCTACTTTGTTCAAAGGCAAGCGATTCTGGTTCTCTCCAGAGGTGGATTTAATTACCCCCTCCCATCTTTCTAGTTGCAAGATGCAGTAAGATAAAGTTGTGCAGGGGACGATCTGAGGGCAATGACCCAGTTGGGTCCTCAGGTGTCCTAGCTTTGCACCATGAGGTCCTGCCAGTCTGGCCTGCTGAATTGGATTAGGAATAAATGCCTGCCTAAAAGGCAGCCATTCAAGGTCTGACCAGTGACCTATATGTGGTCTGGCATCAGCCTGTCCCATAGGGACATGAACGACCAACACAGCTAATCGCACCCTCTCTTGGGGAGTTAAGAATGAAAGATACAGAGAGGTAGAGATAGAGAAAGAGGTAGAATGTAACAGGGGCCCTGAAGCTTTTAAGACCTATGAAGGGAAGGCAGCAGACAGAGGCACAAAGTGGATGAAACCATGGCACGCCCTAAGTTATGTGTAAGCAGAACCCTGCGACAGCATCAACAACCAAAACGGTGGCACAGAGATAACTCCAGCATCCCTGCTCGGCCACCGGAACTATTGGTGCCACCACAAGAGCTCTTGTTATTCCATAAACCATCCAATGCTCTGCGAGCTCCATCTCTGCAGCTGGACTTCCCATCCTTATTTGCCCTTAGTTCATTGCTACACCTGCATCCTCAAAGGGTAACCTGAACCTTCTGTCTTTGCATCCTAAAAGATCTAAACTAGCACAGATATCCACCTCCATCGAAGGCCATTGCTTCTCCATTACCAGAGCCAACACTTTAGAAACCCTCTAACACAGAGGCTGGATTCTGGATCTCCAGCCTCTTCCTGTACGCCCTCTGTGCAAGCCCAAGGAACACGCAACCTTCCCCAGGTGCTGAGCAATTATTAAAACTTGAAATGCACCAGCTGAACTCCGAACCCTTAGGTAAAGTGAATTGGCCCTTTCTCCTGAGCACTGTGGGACAATTCCTATTGATAGGAAGAGGTCATGAGACTTGAGAAAGGGCACACTGGACAAACTGGGCACACGAGTTGGATGAGTTGGCTTGGACATTCTCAGCTGTAAAATGGGGGTACTATATCGCCCAGGGGTTGTAAGAACAAACAGGCTACTCTATTTCTCACAGCAGAGTGCCTGTGCTTTACAAATTCCTCTAGTGATGCATTGTGATGATTGGAGGGCAAGTCCAGCACCTCCTATACACATGGCCAAGCTGCCTTCACCCAACAGTACTGACAAGAGCAGGCCCACCTTGCCAGCCAGGCTTGCAAACTGGCTTTACGTCCACCTGCACCAGGGTGTCCTGCGTTGCAGGCTTCTGTCCACAGTCGTAGGCGGTCACCAGGATCTCATACTGGCGTTGCTTGTCATAGCTCAGCTTTTCCGTGTTCCTGACGTTGCCTGAAGATACAGGGACATTGAAAATCATCTCAGATCAAGTTAACCACGTTGCAGTTCTTCAAAATCCCTTCTGCCCTCTTTCAACCTTCACCAGAATAAAATGTCCCCTTTCCCTATCTCTTTGTAAAGACTAGGGCAAGTAGGGACGTGGCTTCCACATGTGACCTGCTTGTGCCTTGGTGGCAGATTCTCAGGAACTGCTGGCTGGAGCCACCCCAGCTGTGGAACGGAACTGCTGGGTAATTCTGCCCACACATCTGGAATCCAACTGGTTGTGTTAAGTACGGGGTCGTCAGAAGACCACCCTAAACTGCACCAAACTAACCCTACATTAGGCTGTGTCCCTAATGTAGGGCAACGTATGCTCATCAGACATGAAATCTCTGGGAAAAAGATGGAATTCAGAAATGTCCCGACACGTATTTTTTAACATCCGGGCTCTTCGCCAGGAATGTTCATTGCCTCGTCTCACATTATTTTGCTACCAAATAGGAAGTAAAATCAATACGAGAAAACGTGTGACCTCTCTTCTGAAAGCTACACAGAATAACAGATTCCTTGCCCTGGTGGCAAAGACATTTTTCTCCTTCAAGAGAGACCAGACATTGTTTCTGAGCCATTTGTGTGTATTTGTTCCTGTGGGTTTGATATTATGGTTCAGAAATAAATCTTTGACAATTGATGAGCAAACTTTTAATTGATTATTTTTGCTGAAATACAATTTTGGTTTCAAAAAATGAATCAAGGCCTGATGTGCATTTAATACTTCTTACTTTTTTTTGTTTTGTTTTGTTTTTGCGGTACGCGGACCTCTCACTGTTGTGGCCTCTCCCGTTGCGGAGCACAGGCTCCAGACGCTCAGGCTCAGCGGCCATGGCTCACGGGCGCAGCCGCTCCGCGGCATGTGGGATCTTCCCGGACCAGGGCACGAACCCATGTCCCCTGCATCGGCAGGCGGACTCTCAACCACTGCGCCACCAGGGAAGCCCTACTTTTTACTTTTTGATTCCCGGAGCTTAAAGTCTCCCTTTGTTGAGAATAATTTCATTCTGGCTTTTTTTTTTTTTTCAGTGGTGGAGCTGACAGCAAATTAGAATTCAAACGATATCATTCTTTGCCAGAAGCGAAATCAAGAGAGTGGCATGGACATATATACACTACTAAATGTAAAACCGATGATACCTAGTGGGAAGCAGCCGCACAGCACAGGGAGATCAGGTCGGTGCTTTGTGACCACCTAGAGGGGTGGGATAGGGAGGGTGGGAGGGAGGGAGACGCAAGAGGGAAGAGATATGGGAACATATGTATATGTGTAACTGATTCACTTTGTTATAAAGCAGAAACTAACACACCATTGTAAAGCAATTATACTCCAATAAAGATGTTAAAAAAACAAATAAACCAACAAGCAAATACACAAACATGGAATGGCTGACTCAGGTATATGTATTTCATTTTTGTGCACCTTTGTTAAAATTTAAAAAAAAATTATTGAAGTATAGTTGATTTACAATGCTGTGTTAATTTCTGCTGTACAGCAAAGTGATTCATTTATACACAGATATACATTCTTTTTCATATTCTTTTCCATTATGATTTATCACAGGATATTGAACATACTTCCCTGTGCTATATTGTAGGACCTTGTTCATCCATCCTATGTAATACTAGTTTGCATCTGCTAATCCCAAACAACCCCCTTGGCAACCACAAGTCTGTTCTCTGTGTCTGTGTGACTCAGGTATATTTTTATGTTTCATCAAAACTAAGGGGAAACTTTTTAATGAGTTTTCTTCCATTCCAACTGATGTATATTGTTCATGCAAATTGAAACAACAGGGACTGACCCAAGAAAGCTCGGAAAATTAGAAAAGCCACATCACGTGTTAAAGATAGGAAAAATTCATCCACCCATCACTCAATATTAGTAAGACAGTACTCAGCACGAGGTCATGAGCAGGTGCTACGAATGTGAGCATATGTCAGGGTGTGGAGGGTCAGGGGGTACGAAGTTGCCCAAGACATTGGACCAAGAATTGGAATTTCTTCTGCTATCTGCTCTGGACTGTTTCTAAAAATGCAACTGCGGCCAGTGACTGGAAGTCAAATTTCCTTTAACAAAGCCGGTCAAGAATCTCTGAATAAAAATGTGTTTGCTGTATCTTTGGCCTTGTGGCGGATGTTCAGAATCCCTTTCCTTTTTCTCCAAATATTTGTTTCGGTCTCAGCTCGGGGCCCCAAGCACATCTGCAACAGCTCACTGTGGGGTTGGTAACATTCCCTGTGGCTTCTGTTAATAAATTAGTTCGTGGTTAGAGCCATCACAGGGGAGGACTTCTGCCAGGTGGAAGCACTGCAATAGGACCACGAGAAGTATGTTTGAGCAACATCTAATTGAACAAAGGTTTTAACTTTCTTTAAAGTTAAATGACTCTCAAAAGATACACTTCGTAGAAGAGGAAGGCTCAGGGTTTACTGTCCGTGTGGCATTCAGCAGACCAAACACTACTGATTGCGGTAGAAAAATAAATAAACACACGAGCCCGCAATCCTTGGCTCAATTTACGGCAGCTCCCCTTCTGTAAGAAGTCTTAATGAAACTGAGAAACTACTTTACTTTCTCCACCACCACCGACTTCACGCATGGGAGAATGGGTTTCAGAGCACAGGATTTGAAGCATCAGAGTATAATATTTTCACTGATGGTTGTAGAGGGCAGGGTCGTGTTTGGCTAAGTCACACACTTAAAAGCATTTTGAAAGATCAGAAACAGCCCTGCTTTTTGCTTCTGTGACAATTGTGTTATTTTCCCCACATGTGAATGATTTCTCCTAGAGGTGCCTTCTCAGGAGAACTGAGTCCACAGTTAGCCCAGGTGAGTACTGATCTCTGGGCTTATTTCTCTGTTCCAGATGAACTTGGGAAGGTTAACTCTCAAAGAACTATCTGTACCTACCACGTGTCATAGTGAAGGTATTTTTTAAAACCTCAGGTGAAGTAGGGGTTGCAATGAGACAAGTGCACTTACCTGCACCCTCCTTCTGATGGAATTTAAATCGGAGTCGCCCTGTAGGAAACGTATGCAGGCCAGTCACTTTGCAAGTGTTCATACCTTTTGGCCATGCAATTCCACGTCTAACAACTGACTCCAGAAATAATGATAAAAATTGCAGACAGAGGTGCAAATATGTTGATCTAAGCATTATTTATTACATTGAAAAAGAGTAAAGAAACTGGATGCCCAATAGTAAGAGACAAGCTAAGCCTGATTCTCTGCTTAGACGGACTGCTGTTCGTGCTAATTACGAAGCATGTTTATGGATGGAAAAAATCCACACAATCGAACGTTAAGTGAAAAGGGGAAGATAAAGAAAAGCAAGGAAAGCGTGGCCTTATTTTGTTCAAGAACTTCATAGAAGAAGTGCTGGTAGAATGTCAGTAGTGGTTCTCTTGGGTGGGATTACAGGTGACTTACTTCTTCTTATACTTTTCTATGCTTCCCTTGTTTTCCACAAAGGACGTGCGTTTCTCTTCTATTCAGGTGGAAGAGAAGTGTCTTCATGTACTTGGAGAACAAACAGACTTGAGGACACACTGTGCTCATAGGTATCCGATGCCTGTTACTCACCAGGACAGCCTGTGGGGGGCTCAGCAGAGGCTGCATGAGACCAACCACTGCTTGGAAGGTAGAAAAGTCTGCCAAGTGGAGACCGGGTGTCACCGAGAGCCCTGATGCTCCCTTAGCCATCATTGCCATCCCTGGCTGAGGGCAGTACTTAATCCCCATGTTACAATGAGGGTCTGAGGCCAGGTTTAAGTAGCTCGTCAAGGACCTCTCTCTCTCTCTCACACACACACACATACACAGAGTGGTAGACGTAGGATTAAGACATCTTTGTATTTTTGAACTTAAACACCACTGCCATGTGTTCCTGTCAAATGTCACTGAAGACAGTGATAATATCACTGGTGAAAAGGCTTTGGGACCAACACTCAGGGGACCTGGCTCCAGTCCCCACTCTGCCACTGAGGTGACAGCTGCTATATGGCCAGCCCTTCATGCTTTAGGAATCAGTTTTTCCATCAGTTCAATGGAAGTGAGGAACGAGGCCCTCCCAATCCCCGAGAGACCAGCCAAATGCTAGAAGATGGGGGGCTGGAAGCCGTCTGAAATGGATCCAGAATTTCGCAAGAGGGAGGTAACGCCACCAACTCAGTTATTGGCTCATAATTTCAGTCTGTAAATCCATGGGGAATGAATACCCTTCATGTCCCAGTCACCCAGGTAAATATCTAATAATCATGGCCCCATGAATGGAACACTATACGCTAAGTACCCGTGAACATCATCCCCAGGCACTGCCTCTCCCTGAGGCCTCACTACCCCACAGTGGGGCAGGGACTGTTACTGCCATCATTTTTCAGGGGAGGAATTCAAGGGAAGGGAGGCCGAAGACTTCTGGTTGGAAGAGGTTGAGTCTTGCGTTAAAAGAAAAAGTCCTGGGGCCTGAATGAGTGGAGCCCAACTCAGCAGTACTCTTCCTTTTTTTTAAAATTAATTTATTTTACTTAATTTATTTTATTTTTGGCTGCGTTGGGTCTTCGTTGCTGCGCGTGGGCTTTCTCTAGTTGCGGTGAGCGGGGGCTACTCTTTGTTGTGGTGCGCGGGCTTCTCATTGCGGTGGCTTCTCTTGCTGTGGAGCATGGGCTGTAGATGTGCGGGCTTCAGTAGTTGTGGCGCGTGGGCTCAGTAGTTGTGGTGCGCCGGGCTTAGTTGCTCTGCGGCATGTGGGATCTTCCCGGGCCAGGGCTGGAACCGTGTCGCCTGCATTGGCAGGAGGATTCTTAACCACTGCGTCACCAGGGAAGCCCAGCAGTACTTTTTCGAATGTGCATGCAAAGAACTTCTTCAAGGAGCTGGGAAGGTCACTGGGAGAAGTGATGGATAAGGGCCAACTGGGAAGCTCATTAGAATGGGAGCTGCTTCTGCATCTGCCCTTAGGTCCTGCCTTCATTACTTGAGAAATGCTTTTGTAAACCTCGCCATGGGTGGGGTGGGCGGGGAGGGGGGGCACGCTCCCGGAGTGCCGGCTCTCCTCTTCATCTCAGGCTGTAAACCAACGCTGGAGGCAAAGGCCTGGCAAAGGACCATTACTCACTTTTAATGAGACAGCTAGGTAAATAAATTGGCATGTGTTAGTGAAATGGCTCATCAAGGTGAGTAATTATCTTCATGACTGGGGCAGTTTACCCTCAGGTGAAGGAATTTGCATCTCCTCTCTCCCAGGTCCTGGCTCTCCAGAACTAAGCAGGAGGCCAAGGGCAGCTTGACCGCTTGTTCCAGATACCCTCCCCCATGTCCAGTCTAGCTCTTCAGCAAGGACTTGTCACTCCCCAAGTTCCACAGCTCTTGTGGACATAGACAGCACAGCTGATCATAGGGGACCAGAAACATACAAAGCAGTTGTTTCATATTTTGTAGAGTGGCGTGTGTGTGTGTGTGTACGTGTGTGCGTGTGTCATGTATGTCCGTGTGGTGGGGACAGGCCAGCCACTTCATAGGGCCTGTAGGAAAAGCTATCAGGAGCAGTTCTTCTAATTGAAATTACCTGCTTCTTAGTCCTGAACCAAACTTTAAAGTCCAGGATTTTCTCCTTTGCTTTCTCATGCGTTGATCTTGTGTCCTACACACTTAGTATCTAGTGATGTCCAGGTGTATAACTGACACTGGCCACGTGTTTGAGCAACTTTTAAGGAAACTTCCTTATTACCATTTTGTCCGTTTGATGAATATTGGTTTCATCTTCTGAGACAGATCATAAACTCCAGGAGACCAAGGATGAGGGTGTCTCCTTGGCCTCCATGCCCTATGGAATCTGCTGCAATTCTCAGGATGCAGAAGACTCTGTCACAGGGTAAGTTTCTCCCTGGCCTCAACATCAAGAAACACGGGAAGCACTGAAGATTTGCGAGCAGGTGACTGATGGTATTTCCCTCTAGGCATGGGCTACCAGGAGGCTGAGGGCTAATTCACTGCCTAACCCTGGTTCATGGCACGCTTTGTGCACCACCCTCACCCTTGACTCTGCCTGACTTTCTATTTTTTATTTTGATTTGTTTTTTTGCTAGATGGTAAGCTCCATGTGGGCAGGTCCACTTCTGTTTTGACTTCCCCTCTATCTCTATTCCCAGTTGCCAGCACTGTGCCTGGCACTTAATAAACATTTGTGGCGTGGATGAGCCTCAGGTTTTGCAACTTTGCCATCACTGAGCAGTTAAATCCTATTTGGAACAAAGTGAGGATAATGTACATACACCCACACACTCATGCTATATAATAATGAGACAATATACTTGATTACTATCAAGTTATTGAGAATTAAAGTGGGCTGAGTTGATTGGGTCTCTGGCCGTGGTGTTTACACTGCAACGAGTTTTTTAATAATGGCGATGGGGAAATACCCAAGTGGCTTTCTAGGATTCTTTTCAGTTCAGTAAGCTTAGTTTGAGATTGGAGTGTGGTGGGAGGGGTCTTTCATTCCTCATTCTCACTGGGGTGGAAGTTCTCAAAAACCCTTGGCAAGAGCTTTAAAGATTCCTGAATGGATCTATAGCTTGGACGGTGTTTCCAAAATCTCCGCCTTCTCTTTTAGCTTCTCTCTGTCTGGGAGCAGATTGTCGTGGTGTGGCTAATGTTACACTTGTTATACAGGAAACTCAGATGTGGCTGGGTTGATGGCATGGCTCACATCTGGATGACGGCAGGAAAATTCTACCAGAAAACCAACCTGTCTTCAGTATCCAAATGCGTGGCATTGTGAGTTCTACAGACTATTCACTGAGGAGGTTTCTGGGGTGTTTTAGACCTGGCCGGGCTGCTGATTACATGTCATCCCTTCTAGTGCAGGGCTGAGTTCTGGGTTACAGAGCCTACATCAGGGATAGCAAGGGAGGCGTCACCTGCCAAGTGCATTCAAAGCCCTCACTTGGCCTTCAAAGGGGTGGGGGGTGGAGCTGTTTCCCTGCTTCCATTCACCGGGGTCCTCTCAGGACACTCACCGTTTCTGTCGATGGCAAAAGGCACATCAGTTGTGACGATTTCATAGTTGCAAATCTGGCTGTACTGCGGGGAGCAGTCCTCATCGACAGCCTCCACCTGCAGGATGCTGTCGTAGATCTTGCCCTCTGTCACGACAGCCTTGTAGGCCGGCTCTTTGAAGGTGGGAGCAAACTCATTGACGTCCTTCACCTGGATATGGACCACGGCCCTAGGACCACACACAGGAAGGACGAGATGGTGGTAAAGAAAGAATCACACCATCCTCCCACACCTCCCACAGGTACTGACTCAGGTCCCAAGGTCAGGAGAGTAGAGAGACCACAAGACAGTCGGGGTGGCTGTTGTCTGGGTGTTCTGTCCTCCCTCTCATTGAGACCCCTTTACCTGTCCTTGCCCCGATCCTCTGAGATGAATCCACCCCAGAGAGGTGCCTCCCCTTCTCTGACCTTCCTAGTTACAGAGCTTTAGGCGACACATTTCCTCTATCTCCCCATTCCCTCCGCTATTCATTCACTCCAACCAGTAAGAATTGAACCACTCTTACTCTGGGTTAGGGGCTGAGCTAAACTCTATTTGAGAGTTACAACCCCAGATGAAAAGTGCTGTGATGGAGAGAAGCACATGGCCTGGGGGAAATCCAGGGAAATGTCCTGACGAGGCCTGCAGGGATGGGCTGGCTGACAGAAGGCTTCCCAGAGGAAGTGACATCTGAACTCAGTCCTGATGGTAAAATAGGAGTGTCTTCATGGGGAGCAGAGGGGTGGAGTATTCTAGGGGTAGAAGGAGGCCCGCGCTGATGCCTGTAGGGGCCTGGGGACCTGGCCAGCAGTCAGGCAGGCCGGAGCAGCATGGTGTGACCACTGCACATGCATATCTGAAGAGCAGCGTGTGAATGGAGATGGGAGGGCAGGGGTGGGAGGGGTCCAGGGAGCTCCATCAGGTCACTCACTTGTGCGATTTCTTCCAGTCCGTCTCCTGGGGCCCCGTGCCACAGTCGTAGGCCTGGATGATGAACGTGTACTCCTTCTGCAGTTCACAGTCGATGGGACTTCTGGCGCGGAGCCGGCCCTCTCCCGACGTCTTGTTGAGCACCACAGCCTCGAAGGGCAGCTCCTGGCCATGGATCTTGAATGCACAGATTTCCCCTGCAGGAGGATGGAAGGCAGAGAGCGGGGATCCTGAGAACGGCCACACTGAACACAGAGCTTAGACTGGACCAGATTTGCAAACCCAAAACCAGACCATTTCCTCCACACAGATAATTGTCAATGCAGAAGCGGCCTTTCGGCTTCCCTGGTGGCACAGTGGTTGAGAGTCCGCCTGCCGATGCAGGGGACGTGGGTTCGTGCCCTGGTCCGGGAAGATCCCACGTGCCGCGGAGCGGCTGGGCCCGTGAGCCATGGCTGCTGAACCTGCGCGTCCGGAGCCTGTGCTCCGCAACGAGAGAGGCCGCAACGGTGAGAGGCCCGCGTACCGCAAAAAAAAAAAAAAAAGAAGCGGCCTTTAGAGACTCAGACCAACACGTTCATGTCCTGGATGATAAAACTGAAATGTGCCCCATCCGGTGTACCCGGCAGAAAAAGTGGGGTGTGTGGGTGCTCATCAAGCAGGGAGCTGGCTGATATCTCACTTTGCCCCTTTTCCCAGGAGGTTTCTCGTTTGCCCTCTGCCCAGTATGAGATTAAGGAACTTGCCCGCAGTCGAAAGACAAATGACTGCAGAGGAAAGGAGAAAAAGGCCAAAGCTTTCAGTGTCTTTTGTTTTGTGACAACATCCTTGATTCTTCAAAGTGTGCTCTGTGAAGCAGCAGCCTGGGCATCCCTGGGGAGCTTGTTAGGAATACAGACTCCCAGGTCCCACCTGGACCTCCTGAGTCAGTATATGCATCTTTTTTTTTTTCTGTGTGTCCATGATGTCTTTTTTTTTTT